TTCGAACCCTTCAATATATACATATATCACTTATTTGTTTACTCTTAAGTAAGTTTGTGTTATTGGGCTGTATTGTAGTCAATAACACACACTTTAAATTGCAACCGTTTTGCTGTTGATGCGTCTGGTTTCAGTTGTCTTATAATAACAATATTAGTACACTTGTTGGTTCGTTGCAAATATAAAAGGTTTGATTTAAACGACAACATAATTGGGCAAAGGGATTATTATTATAAGTTTTTTCATTTTACCGAGAGTATTTTCAAACGGATTTGCCTGATCGAGATCCCATAAGGTTGATTTAATTTATATTTGTATATGTGATAGGTTTGCCCCTTAAGACCCATATGAAAAACCCATAAGGCAATCCTCATTTTAGTATCACAACTTTTTTGGTGGGATTCTTATAAAATATCAATGGGAAAATCCCTATATGGGGATGCCCGTTGTTAGCATTATGAGGCCTGCACGCTACATAGGGCATGCCCCTTGTAAATTCTTGTCGGGCACTTTTTTGGTGGGATTTTCATGAGGAATCTACGGGAAAATCCCTATATCGGCATGCCCCTGATTACCCACATTTGGCCCTCACGCTACATGGGGCATGCCCCCAATAAATTCTAGTTGGGAAGATGATCAGCTAGCGCAAGAACGCAACCAACAAAATCTAGGTACAGGCCTGACGCTGGAAGCTGGCGGAAATTTTAAAATGGCGTGGATGCGCGGTGGCAAAAGTAGGCAGTTTTAGGTATAAAGATTGCAGCCCTCATTCTTCAGTATTCCTATCAGGGGCGTAGATTAAATATTTAAAAATAGGGATCAGTGAGCAAGTAATAGACAGACAAACAGAAGAACTAATTGTTGATGTTGGTGACAGTGATAGAGATTGCGATGATGACAGTGAATGTGAAAACTAACTATAAAACAAAAGTTTCTTTTTGATTAGTCATGTTTTTACATTATTTTCTAGTACGCTACTGTCCCACCTGTATTAATACTATAATTTACGCCTACTGAAAACCTATTTGTGTATCGGTTCCAAGTGACTTACCCAAATAGGTTATAAATGGGCAAGTACCTGCGCAACCGCTCGCCAGCTTACTTCGTCAGACCTGTACCACTGTATAAACACCACCCATTCTCCCCTCAGAAACTTCATTCCCTTCGTATATGATCATCGCAGTTTTAAACGCGGAATGATGAGGAACAATTGAAGTTTAAACTACATAAATTTTGTTTTTGAGTTCAAACTGGGCCAAAAACAGTCATTATCCCAGCTCGTTCACACTGTCGACGATTTAAAATTCTCACATGAATTTTTTATATCCAATTTCTCGGTCGGGTACTTTAATCTTATAAAATACACGATGGCAGCACATGCAATTTTCTGAACGTCGTTGTTGATGAAACGCACTAAGTTTTCGGGTTTTTGGATAAAATTCTCATAGCCCGCTCATTTCAAAGATAAGAAGTGCCGTTGTCGGGAATTATCGTATATAAAAGTTGGTCCGAAATGTTTTTCTCTCTGTCCCTTGGAAAAACCGTCCGGCAAAAGACTCAATTTTCCAGTTACTTTCGCTTCTCTGGTTATTATTATTATTATTATTATTATTGTGTCATCAATGTCTCTTACCTAAATGTTACCTAAATCCAATAAGCCAGTGATTTACTGTTTCAATAGTCCTGCTGAACGGTAATGAAATACTTCCCTTCGTCTTTTAAATCTTCCTTGATAAATGTCACTGATTAAATTGAAATCCGTTTCAGGAAAAAGTCAATTTTCTTTTAACTCTTATAAGAAAATTTATTATTCGGAAATGCTTCGTAGGCATCATCCCTTGTATTGTTAGTGTTTCTATTTATAGTTTTTCTTGAAAAAAAATAATTACAATCGGATACCGGCGGCGCAAGGACATACGCTCGCTTATTCGATTATATTATTTGATAATAAGAAAAAAATATTCTTTTGACAATTTGTCGAAATGGAATTTTCGGATTATCGGTTGCTACTAACAGATAAGCTTCTGAAGCCTGTTAAAATGGCTCCTTTTGGACATATCCACCAGGAGTCACACGTGGCGCGTGACGCTGTGACGCGTGACGTTACATAAAGAAGTTGTGATTAAAAATCAAAACAATTCGTGTTTTTTTTTTGAGAGAAATGAAATTATATCAAAATAAATGTGAAATTATGATTTTAATTTAAAGTACGTTAAAAAAATCTTACATACATACGAAATAGATAATTATCTAGGAAATAATTAGCTTTGAAATCCTCTAATAATTTAAATGGGTTTTCAGAAAACACTAATTGATCATTGTCTAACACTAATGAAACAAACTGCCTAATAATTTAATCGATTTTCGAAGCTGATGTATTATAAAATTGATTTATTAAATATTAGTATTTATAGTTTTGGTATTGCAGAGAGCTGTTATTAGGACATTAAAACAAGTAGTACACTAATTTTTTTTTGTAAAAAATGGGATATTTTATCCTGTGTGCAGCAAATTAAGTAATTACATTTGATATTTAGTATATATGTAATATGTATTAATATTTTTAACACGTTTTATGTGAGATATTGTTCAAGAACAGAGAATTTCTCACTTTACTGAGAAACACCCATGTACATACGTTATGTATAATGTTTTTGAGTTCACAGCTTTAGACATTAGAGGCGAATTCCGGTAAAATATCAATCCGGTAATTGACTTCCATTACCTACATACGTGAACTTCATAATTATATTGAAAATAGATTATCACGTCCTTTACAAGTAATTTATCTCATGAAATCCAATTAACAACAAAGAGTTGCTTATCAAAAGGGGATACTAATGTGATAAAAAATCGAATTCATCAAATTTTATATTAAAAATTGCACAGGTGTCCGATAGGGAATAATTCAGTAACAAAATTGGTCAAATGCAAGTCAAATTCGCCAACCTAAGGAAATCTATTGTGAAAATCCCTAAAAAGTACCCAATACATCATCATCATCATAAGGTCGTCAGTCCTAAGACAGGTTGAACATACACCTCCACTCTTTCCTATCCTGGACTAAACTTCGCATTACCCTAAAACTAGAACATCCCAAATTCTTCACTATTTGTGTACAGTAATCTAATCTACATCTACCTCTACTCCTCCTAACTACTGTTTCTGCCTTTAATATGTCTCTGACTAGACCTTCATGCCTCAGAAGGTGTCCTACCAACCTATCTCGCATATTTCTTATTGACTTCCCTAGAGTCCGCTGTTCTCCTATTCTTTCTAACACCTCTTCGTTTATAACCTTCTCGATCCACGGTATCCTCATCATTCGCCTGTAACACCACATTTCGAACGCTTCTAACCTTTTCTATTCCGCTGCGCCCACCGTCCATGTTTCGCACCCGTACAGCGCCGCTTTCCAAACGTACACCTTTAACAATCTTTTTCGAATTTCTAAATTAACCGTTCTCGACTATAGAAGAATAATAAATAGAAGGGAATTTTAATTTTGATAAAAAGTTACGCTTGTCAACTTAATATCAAATAAACAGTCACTAAACTTTATTTTAAAGAGAATTTACTATTAGGTATGTATGAATTTCAGACTGATGACTTATATGTTTCTTTTAAAAGTTATAATTATGGGACGATTTTATTATTAATCGATTATTTAACTATTATAGAATTGCAATTCTACAAATTGCATTCTTTATTTCCTAGTTAATACTTATAATAGAAGAAAAATATAAATTACAGTAAAAAAATGCAGTTAACCTAATCCAGAAAATGTATTAACTTCAGTTGATTATTTCTCTAACGATTCATTTTAATGATCACTGATTCCGATTATATTAAATAACCGATTATTCAGAAAATTAGATGAATGAATTGAGTTTTTCGATTAGTCGATCAAACTGATTAATCCGATAATTTGATAACAATAGGGTTTCATTGGATCCTTTGGGATCAGAACTCTATTAATTACAATTATTAGGTGTTATTATTGGTGACTGTGATATAGAAATTGTATTCTTTTGATAACGACATAACTTCCAAAATAATTTTAAAGAGAAGTTCAACTATTACTATTACTTGTAAATTATTGCATTATATGAGGTCATCCCAGAATTTATTTCGTAATCGTCTGAATCAATATTATATTTAATTACATTAATTAATAAAAATTCAGTTTTAAACAAATGAATAATACCTACTTGACAATACACGAAATTTTTTTTTAAATTAATTATGTTTCATTATTATTTCTTTTTTCCAGCACCCCCTGAATGTGATCAAGGCCAACTTACCTGTGGACAGTATGTTTTTAACAAAACGTATTGCATTCCTTCCCATTATCACTGTGATATGACTGTAGACTGTGTAGATGGTACTGATGAAGCTGAGTGTAGTAAGTATTCTCATATATTTTATTCTGTGCTTGTCTAATCGTCCATTGTATTGATATCGGGTAGGGTTACTTAATTGATTTTGTGACTGTAGTAATAAGTAGTGTTGCAACAGACATCTTCTTCCGCTTCCGCAATTGCGGAAGTTCCGCATACATCTTCACATTCGCTTCTGCGTCTGGTTCCGTACCGTTATAATAAAAGCTTATCGGAACCTAATAAAATCTTATTTCTCATTTTCCAAATTTTATTCTCATTAGTTTCCTATTAGTTTTACTCTAAAAACGTCTAGGACGTTCAGCTCCCCCTTGGCCTAGGCTCTTAATAATTTCATTTCGAAAATACTAATACAGTTATAGCGTTTGTCTACTTTGTATAGTATTTACTCAGTGGTGCCAATTTTAAGTTAAAAGTACAATTTTGAAGATAAAAAGAAGTTCCATTTGAGATTAACGAGATTTGCAAGTGTTAAATGCAAAATTTGTAACAACATATTACCGAAAAGGACGCATGAACGCGAAAGAGTCGCCTAAAATCATTACACTTCCGCATCCGCAAAAATTTACTAGTTACTTTTTTGTCTGCTTCTGTTTCCGTTATGACAATTCCGTTGCATCGCTAGTAGTAGTAAGAGATTTGGTAACCTTTGACCATCACGTCGACCCCAATCGACCATCAGATCTGTCGCTTGACCATTTTATTTTCATAAACACAAAAGCAGAAGTATTTTCGATATTAAAAGTTGAAGTGTTGTGTGTCAAAGTCAGCTTCTTACTTAGCATTAAGTGCTTCAATAATTACCTTAACAATAGTAAAACTAGTGGTGTAATAAGAAGAAACACACCTTTAACCACTTTCTAAACTCTTGGGCGTTACGTAAATAATTTTTCCTTCATTGGCAACAAAGGCATAAACGGTTGTTTGTGAAAGTCATTTATCTGAAAGGTATTCGTAAAAATTTTTAAGACCCTTTCTAATATAAACATTATATGTGTAGACATCTAATCTAGATCTAATCTTAGATCCACTTCTGCTCCTCTTAACTCCTGCATGTAATATACCTCTAACTAGCCCTTCATGGCTAAGAAGGTGTCCTATCTCACCTATAGTATAGTCGAAATAAGAAGGCAAAGTCCCCAATAAATAATGCACACTAAAGCCATATCGTTTTTCTCGTTCTTACAAACGGAAGATATCCTGTCTTTACTCTCTAGACACGCCTCCTCCACAGCTGCGTCGAGACCTGCACCTACGTTTCATAGGAATCAATCGAACAGAATGAGACGATCGACAACATGCTTGTCTTGTCATTTGTACCTACATAAAATGGGCAAATTTACAGGGTCGGCCTTATTTAGTTGGTGTATTTGTGCGAATACTCATCTCTCTGCATATATCGTTTAAGTTATTTTTTCGTTGTAACTATTGTTGTCGTTGGTTTTGTTGATGTTATTGTTGTTGTTATTGTTGTTTTTATCGTTATTTTTGTTGTTAACTTTCAACGAAATGGTCCGAGAAGTTTTATTAATTATCAGAGTAAAAAGCTTGTTTGGAATTATTTTCAAAGAAAGAAAGAAACAAGTAGAGAAAACATCTCTAATTCGAGATAATTGTAATATTTTATTAATTCCAATAAAACATGTTTCGCACCCGTACAGCGCCGCTTTCCAAACGTACACCTTTAACAATAAATTACAGTAAAAAAATGCAGTTAACCTAATCCAGAAAATGTATTAACTTCAGTTGATTATTTCTCTAACGATTCATTTTAATGATCACTGATTCCGATTATATTAAATAACCGATTATTNCTCTAATTCGAGATAATTGTAATATTTTATTAATTCCAATAAAAAACGAATAGTCGGAATTTTTCAAAAACTAACAGTTCAGAATTGTTTTTGTTGTGAACTAAAAAATGATAAAAAAAATATATTGACCTTCCCGTTGTTGAGTTATAATAACACAAAGTTTAAAAATATGAGAATTTGTATCAATATGAAATACAGTGTTGTACGATTAAAAGAACAATAATATTTTTAGATGTGTGGGTATGTATGAATACAGGCTCATTCAATCTGTTTTGATGTACAATCGAAATTATATAAATATTATTGCATTGAATTATTTTAGATCTTACAGTAACTTTTTCACCATACTGTAGCACGCTTCTACCTTAAGCCGATCCTGTAAATTTGCTCATTTAATGTAGGTACAGACAGCAAGACAAGCACGTTTTCAACCGTCTCATTCTATTCGATTGATTCCTTTGAAACGTAGGTGCAGGCCTCGACGCAGCTGTGGAGGAGGCGTGTCTAGAGAATAAAGACATGATATCTTCCGTTTGTAAGAACGAGAAAAACGATATGCCTTTAGTGTGCATTATTTATTGCGGACTTTGCCTTCTTATTTCGACTGTACTATATTTCTTATTGAGTTCCATAAAGTCCTATTCGTTCTAATAACTCTTCATTTCTAACGTTCTCTATCCACGGTATCCTCATCATTCACGTGTAACACCACATTTCGAACGTTGCTAACCTTTTCTTTTTCCGTTGCGCCCACTGTCCAGATTTCGCACTCGTACAACGCCGCGCTCCGAACGTACACCTTTAACAATAAATACATATGTATACGTACATTATATAATACAAATTACATTTTACAATGTACATCAATAGTAAAACATAAAAATCGTTTTAAAATTCATGAGGTGATACACGATTGTTTTATTGATTGTATTCAATTGCATCAAAAAATATGTTAATTCACTACCGTGAAAGGTTTGCTTTGAACTTCAAAAGCTTCGTCTACTAAAAATCCAAACTTTGGGAAAATTGTTTGTGCGAAGATTAGGAAAATGTTTTTTTAGGAATAATTCAAGTCATCCCTTTAAAGTTTCATATGGGTCGCGTTCAAAGTTCTACTCGAAATTGCCGCAGATGTTGTCTTTCGAAAAGTTTGTCACAAGTGTTTTCTAAGAAGAATGTATGAAAGCAGAATTAGAACTGAATTAGAAATTTGAATATGAACACCTTTTAGGTCGGTTTCATTCTTGTTCGGTATCATAGCGTCCGTATGAAGGAGAGAGGAAGGGATAAGGAAAGGGTGCGAAAAGTTTCCTAGTAATGGGGGATGTTACGTAAACCTTAAAAATCCTAAAAGGATTTTTAAGGTTATTGCATACAATTTTAAAGGTTTTGGAGCATATTAAGTATTTTTCGGTATTTTGTAATAAAGTAGCGAAAATAAGGTGGAAGGGGGGGGGTTAGAAGATGCCCCTCGCAAGTTCTCCGCGCTATTAACCAAAAATAAATTATTAACCGAAGAATGTTTTGACTGCTTTGCTTAGAATCATAATGTTATGATACGAAAGGACAGCACGAAGAATAAGGTTGGTTTTGGTTTTATTTATTTTGTTGACTGAAATGTGAGCATACGTAGGCGTGTCTTGGATTGGGTTACATTACGAAAGTTTTCAAAGTAATTTGGGTGTTGTTGTTTTCGTTTTTCTTTTCTCCCCCCTGCCTTCCCGCATCCGCTATAAGACCGAAGGATACTAATTAGGTAGACAGGTATTAAAAATGGTAATAGAAAAAAAATTAATCTTTTTTTTGGTTTCCGTATCTACCTCTCTTCCACCGGGAAAGCTTTTCGTACTCGACCCCCACTGCCCCCATTTCCTCCTTCCCCAACAATGCCGAACGAAATTTCTAGTCTGGGCACATCTTATAGGATTCTAAAGCAATTATTCAAATTTAAATTTGCTTACTCCAAAATTAATGTTCTTTTGAAAAAAAATCTCAGAATGCGTCTGATTTTTAAAACAAAGAAAAGAATGGATTATTTATTATTGTTTATTACGTTTCAATCTCAACATTATCATCTTCATCGCCATAGCTTGCGGGCTCCTCTAGGTACTTGCTTTCTTGCTTCATGAGCTTACCCTATAATACCGTAATATACCAAGCGGCATGGCCTAGAAGTTTAGACCATCGCTTAGCGTTCGGGAGGATTCACGTGCCTCGGTCCAACTTCTTCTGTGGTCTCCTTGGATCAGTTGGGCAAATGCTGGGGCAGATAATCATTCCACAGATAATCTTTCATTCTCTTCTGTCTTCATTTCGTCCGTCTCATCTTTCTCACCCGAACCCACGATACCTGAAAGGAGGCTGGGCCATCGTCGTATGCTGCAAAAACGAAAAGGGCTTTAGATCTACTTTTACTGAGAAAAATAAGAAAACGGTGTGCAGAATACTGGGTAGATGAGTGGAGTGACATGTTATTTTTTCCAGCCAGATACACTTTTATAGTTAGACAGACTTTTATCATAAAGAATGGGGTGGTTTTCCACCACCAAAATCTTTCTTTCTTCCATCATACTGTTTCATCACTTAAAATACACATGTAGGTCATTCGGCGAACCAAAAACAACTAATGCTTAATTCAGAATCACTGCATCCGGCGCTAGACTCTACATCACTGCGTGTGAACTCGGTGGGATCTCCGCTTAATTCTTGCAACGAAAATACCGCCAGGCAGCTCCATCTATATGTTTATATCTCAGTTATTATATTTGAGTCTTTTAAGATGAGCAATGTTTTATAGAGCTAATCCATTCAAAAAGTAATTTTCACCTCTAAGTGGAGCTGATCTGTTTCTTGCATCGAGTTCATCGATTCTTTTAATCGATTCTACAAACTACCAGTTTTTAATTAGATTTTTAACAGTTGGCTTATTAACGGAGTTTATGATCTAAATATTAAAATTTACCCTCAACATTTACCATGAGAGCATTTTTTCATGAATTGAATCTTGAAAACTGTACCCACAAGAAGATGGTTTATTGATGTAGTTGGTGGAGTTGCTTGATGGTTCGTATACCGTGTGCCACTGCCTCGAGAGTCCTAGAAAACTTCGAGTTCTATAATTGTTTGCTCTATATCTTAAGGGAGTCGTTATCGTAACTTACTAATTTAGTATATATATATACGGTATAATA